TCAACCCAACATATCTACAACCATACAATCTTTGATAAACCTGACAAAAACAAGCAATGGGGGAAGGATTCCCTGTTTAATAAATGGTGTTGGGAAAACTGGCTAGCCATGTGCTAAAAGCAGAAACTGGACCCCTTCCTGACACCTTATACAAAAATTAACACCAGATGGATTAAAGACTTAAACATAAGACCTGGCACCATAAAAACCCTAGAAGAAAATCTAGGCAAAACCATTTAGGACATAGAAGTAGGCAAGGACTTCATGACCAAAACACCAAAAGCAACAAAAGCCAAAATAGACAAATGGGACCTAATGAAACTCCACAGCTTCTGCATGGCAAAAGAAATAGTCACTAGAGTGAATTGGCAACCAACAGAAAGGGAAAAAAATCTTTGCAGTTTACCCATATGACAAAGGGCTGATATCCAGAATTTACAAAGAACTCAAACAGATTTACAGGAAAAAAACAAACAAGCCCATTCAAAAATGGGCAAAGGATATGAACAGACACTTTGCAAAAGAAGACATACATGAGGCCAACAAACATATGAAAAAAATGCTCATCATCACTGGTCATTAGAGAGATGCAAATCAAAACCACATTGAGATACCATCTCACGCCAGTTAGAATGGCGATCATTAAAAAATCTGGAGACAACAGATGCTGGAGAGAATGTGGAGAAATAGGAGCACTTTTACACTGTTGGTGGGAGTGTAAATTAGTTCAACCATTGTAGAAGACAGTGTGGCTATTCCTCAAGGACCTAGAAATAGAAATTCCATTTGACCCAGCAATCCCATTACTGGGTATATCCAAAGGACTATAAATCATTCTACTATAAGGACACATGCAAACAAATGTTCATTGCAGCACTGTTTACAATAGCAAAGACCTGGAACCAACCCAAATGCTTATTGATGATAGACTGGACTGGGAAAATGTGGCCCATATACACCATGGAATATTATGCAGCAATCAAAAATGATGAGTTCGTGTTATTTGTAGGGACATGGATGAATCTGGAGAACATCATTCTCAGCAAACTGACGCAACAACATAAAATGAAATACCGCATATTCTCACTCATAGGCGGGTGATGAAAAATGAGAACACATGGACACAGGGAAGGGGGTACTATACACTGGGGTCTATTGGGGGAAATATGGGAGGGACATTGGTGGGGGGGATCTGGGGATGGATAGCCTGGGGAGAGATGCCAAATGTGGGTGAAGGGGAGGAAGGCAACAAAACACACTGCCATGTGTGTACCTATGCAAGTATCTTGCATGTTCTGCACATGTACTCCAAAACCTAAAATGCAATAAAAAAAAAAATAAAAAATAAAAATAAAGGGTGGGTCATGTATACAGTGTGGACACAACAACATTTGTCCCAGGCAAGACATAGCAGGATTGATAATATTTCGTCATGCAACTCGGAATGGCATGCAATTTAAAAGTTACAAATTATTTATTTCCGGAATTTTTCATTAAATATTTTAGGACCATGGTTGACCATAAGGAACTGAAATAGTGGAAAGTAAATCCACAGATAGGGAAGGACTACAGTAGTACCATGAACAGAGCATTAAGGGTGATTCTGATCAGGGCTTGGGAGAAAAGAACAGCAGTAGGGAAAGTCTGAATCTTCTTACAGTTTATTTAGGTGATCATGACAAGAATTTGAGAGAAATATGGACACTAGAGACTATTCTGATGAGATCTCAGATGGAAATGAGGAAGAAGAATTGGAAACTGGAGTAAAGGCCATGCTTGTTACAAAGTGTCAAAGAACTTGATTGAATTATGCTCATGTTCGAGGGCTTTATGGAAGGCAGAGCTCAAGAAAGATGAACCAGTATATGGGGAAAAGAAATTTCTAGGAAAAATGTTGAAGGAGCGGCATGGCATCTTTGAACTGCATATGGTAAAATATGAGGAAATAAATGATTTAAAGATGGAATTCATAGTTAAAAGGGAAACAGAACATAAAGATGCAGAAAATGTGCAGCCTGGTCATATAAAGAATGAAAAAGCATGCAAGGATGTGGCCAAGTGATGCTTTGATATAAGGGTTGATACAAATAGAAGGAAGCTAGGTGTCATTTATCAAATCAATGGGAGAATGACTCTGAAGGCATTTCAGAGATCTTTGAAGCTGTCCCTCCCATCACAGGCTACAAATATGAGAATCTTGAGATCAGAAAGGGCTTGGTACTCTCCACATTCTACCACAATGCCCTTGGCTGCTCCAGTTGTGGCTAAAGTGGGCTTAGATGAGACTTGTGCTGCCATTGCAGAGGGCACAAACTGTGAGTCTTGGTGGCATTCACATAGTACTGACTGTAAACACACAGACTGCAGGAGTTGTGGGACCATGGTGCTCTCCACCTAGGTATCAAAGGATGTTTCTGACACCTGTCACAGGGGTGTAGCCACTGCAGAGAGCTCCTCCTAGGACCATGCTCAGGGAACTAGGGGTCAGAGCAGCCACTGAGACCCTAGAACTATAGAACTATCAGCCTGCAATACTAGCCTGAGAGAGCTACAGGCAGAGACACCAATCAAACAGCTGCTGCATGGACTGAGCCCAGTAAAGTCATGGAGCAAGGCTGTCTGAGGGCCTTTGGGGCCTGACACCAAGACCCCCAGGCAGCCCTGCCCCATGGTAGGCATGTCCAAGAGAGCACACGGAGTCAAAGGTTATTCTGCAGTTGCAGTCTTAAGATTTAACGCTGTTTTCCCTGTCGGACTCACCTGGGGCCAGTTACCCTTTTTTCTTTCCTGTTGCTCCCTTTTGAAATAGGGATGTCTGTCCTATGCCTGTCCCACTGTTGTATTTTGGAACTAGGTAACTTCTTTAATAGGTTCACATATGAAGGAGAATTTGCCTCAGGATAAGTCCTGGTTTGAATCTCACTCATATCAGATTTAGATGAGACTTAGATTTACATTTTGACTTTTTAAGTTGGTGCTGGAACAAGTTAAGACTTTGGGACTATTGAATATATATTGCATATGAGAAGGACATGGATTTGGGGGGCCAAGGGTGGAATGCAATGGTTTGAATGTGTCCCTCAAAGGTCATGTGCTGGAAACTTGATTTCCAAGCAGTGTTGGTGGGGGGGCCTCACAGGAGATATGTGGGTCATGGTGACGCCACCCTCATGAGTGAATTAATGTTTTTATCACGAGACTGGGTTCCTTATAAAAGGATGAGTTTGGCTCCCTCTTTCTCTGTCTCACCCTCTCTTTTCCCTTCCACAATGGGATGACATGGTATTCCTGGTTATCTATAAACATGTCTCATTCTATAAATGGAATCCTAACTTCCACAACTTTCCACATATGCTATTTACTGGGGACACGTTACTTACCATATAAGTAAGTTTGTTTTCCAGAAATGAAACTCTGATCTCTTTGTTTGGAAATCAAAAGATATATACATTTTGAAAGGACCCTATATTCTTCTATGTCACCAAAAAGCCTTCATTGACTCAACAAACATTAACACCAGTGTCCTCCATGCTGAGTATCATGGTAACAAGAATAAATGCCATAGCCCACGCCCATGGAGGAATGTCAGGAGTAAATGATTATAAATAGACTAGAATGTGTCAAATTATGAGCACAAGACAGGAAATAATGATACATTAATGGGGTAGCTTATCAGGAAAGGTATTACTGAGGAGGAAATATTTTAACCGGGTTTTGACATGAGTAGGAGTTTGCAGAGTGGACAAAAAAGAAGAAACATTCCAAGAAGATGAAACAGTTTCAGCAAGCCTTGTAAATTTTATGCTCTACCCCTTTCTTAGCTACACTAAGACATATTAAGCTTACCTTCTTTTTAATCTTGGACACTTTTTTTTGTTTCTTTTAGCTTTTTAATGCTTCTTTTGAGTGTTCTGCTAAAAGATTAATAAGAATGTACCCTACCTTATACAGTTGAATTAAAGAGTGAAAATGAAATAAATATAAGATATTTGGCACAATACCTGGTACACAGACAATACTTCACAAGTAATATACATACACTGAGGGTGTATGGAACTTATCCACATACTATAGATTTTGATTTTAGCTGTCTAAGAAAAATAATTGTAATTTTTTTCATTTTTGCCAAATTCTGTTTCCTATGCCTTTATCTTATAGAAGTACTTGCAGGAAAATGATGAGGGTTTATCTGTTCTACACACAGAGTGTCCAATAGAATATCTCAGATGAATATTATTGAAGGCTTAATACCTTTAAATATTGTTTACATGTAATTTTGATGATCAAAGAAGTTTTGCTAAATCAAAACTTCCTACTCTTAATGCCTATACTGTAAGACATACAGAAAAAAATCTGCATTTACTCTTTAAAGTCAATGAGTCATAGCTATGTACTTTCACTTGAAGTGGTGGAATAAGATCTGACACAGGGTTTAGAACTTCCCTGGGATGTGGTCATCTCCAAGACCATCTCCCAGATCATCCAAGAAGCACATATGGGATCAGAGTCATCCTCATTATAGATGGGACATCCTTCTCCCAAATGAATCCTTCCTTCTCATTCCTTTCCAACATTTCATCTGACCAGGATGTTCTTTGACAGCAAAAGATGTATTTACATTTTAAAAATTGCCCCATATGATTTGCAGAGAGCAATCTACAGTTAAGAGGGAGAGTCACATATAAAAACAAAATATGAGAGCCATGTGACCAGTGCTTTGTAAAATACACTGCATAAGGCTAAAGACAAAGGTGACCCCACTGACCAAGAAATATGATTCGTGTTTCCAATGGAAACACAGGAGCACAGCAGGAAAAGGAAATGTGTTATTTTTTCTTTTTAGAAGTATTTAACTAGAAACACACAATTATGTAGTTACATGATTAAACTTTACAGCAGGTAAATAATAACAAGAAAATAATGACGTGATGGCAATGGGCCTTCAGCAGGGTATAAAAGGGGCTATGGGCCCAGAAGATTTCCAAACCCAAGAACTTCACTCTCCTGGAAACCCACCAAGATCCTCCAACTTCTGACACCATGGTCGACTCCTGTTGTGGCTCCGTGTGCTCTGACCAGGGCTGCGGCCAAGACCTCTGCCAGGAGACCTGCTGCGCTCCCAGCTGCTGTGGGTCCAGCTGCTGCAGGCCCCAGTGCTGCCAGTCTGTGTGCTGCCAGCCCACCTGCTGCCGCCCCAGCTGCTGTCGGACCACCTGCTGCAGGACCACCTGCTGCCGCCCCAGCTGCTGCATCTCCAGTTGCTGCCGCCCCAGCTGCTGTGTGTCCAGCTGCTGCAGGCCCCAGTGCTGCCAGTCTGTGTGCTGCCAGCCCACCTGCTGCCGCCCCAGCTGCTGTCGGACCACCTGCTGCAGGACCACCTGCTGCCGCCCCAGCTGCTGCATCTCCAGTTGCTGCCGCCCCAGCTGCTGTGTGTCCAGCTGCTGCCGGCCCCAGTGCTGCCAGTCTGTGTGCTGCCGCCCCAGCTGCTGTGGGTCCAGCTGCTGCAGGCCCCAGTGCTGCCAGTCTGTGTGCTGCCAGCCCACCTGCTGCCGCCCCAGTTGCTGTCAGACCACCTGCTGCAGGACCACCTGCTGCCGCCCCAGCTGCTGCATCTCCAGTTGCTGCCGCCCCAGCTGCTGTGTGTCCAGCTGCTGCCGGCCCCAGTGCTGCCAGTCTGTGTGCTGCCGCCCCAGCTGCTGTGGGTCCAGCTGCTGCAGGCCCCAGTGCTGCCAGTCTGTGTGCTGCCAGCCCACCTGCTGCCGCCCCAGTTGCTGTCAGACCACCTGCTGCAGGACCACCTGCTGCCGCCCCAGCTGCTGCATCTCCAGTTGCTGCCGCCCCAGCTGCTGTGTGTCCAGCTGCTGCAGGCCCCAGTGCTGCTAGTCTGTGTGCTGAGAGCCCATCTGCTGCTGCCCCAGCTGCTACCGCCCCTCTTGCTCTGAATCCAGTTGCTGCTGCCCCTGCTGCCGCCTGCGTCCAGTCTGTGGCCAAGTCTCCTGCCACACCACTTGCTATCGTCAAATCTGTGTTATCTCCACCTGCCCCCACCCCATGTGCTGTGCCTCCTCTTGCTGCTGAGCCTGCTTGCTCTGGCTCACCTCTCCCTTCACTGCTGGCCCACAGATGTAGACCCTTGTACTGTGCTAACCATTAGGACACATGGAGTGGGATTGATGTCATTCAATAGGATGGACTTCATGTTTCCAATGAGCCCATTACAATTTCACTGATTCCGTGAGAACATTCTAATTCATTTTAAACTCCCTCCCTTGCTTTCTTTTATTTCCAGTGGTGGCAACAAGTATAAATTAATTGTAATCCACTAGCTATGAAATTATTCCAATCCTCTAAATTCCTCATATTCTTTATCACTTTGAGGCAATAGATTCTCCTTCTCAGTGAGGTAGACATTAAATTCCGGACCAGTATTGCCACTGATGTTATGCCCCCAGAACCAGCCATCCAGTTATATTGTTTTCCTCTGAGTGTGACTTTCTTATGCTTTGTTGCATCTCTGCTTTCTAATAAACTTTTCTGCACATAAGAATTCATTGGTATCATCCTCTATTGCTTTCATATCATTTTACTGATTCCCTAGGCTGTTATACTTCACACAAAGACACAGGAAGAGCAACCCATGTTGAAATCACTTTGAAGATATATGCCATATCACATAAAGATAATTTAAGGCAATGGAATAAAAGTGGTGTGTGTGTGTGAGTGCACATACATGTTCTTAATGTCCTAAATTAGGAAAGATTTAATTCATGCCTTGGCTCTTGAAACACATTTTATCTTTAACATATTACATCTCATAATACTGTTGTCCCTATTTTGACAAAAAGGATTAAACCAAATTTCTGAAAAGTGGACATCAATGAAAGAAGGGAAATCTTCTATAAAGAATTTAATGTTCAAAAGAAGAGAAGATGGCACTGTAGGAGCAGCTCAGGATTGCAGCTCCCAGTGAAAGCACAGAGGGTGAGTGGATGCTGCATTTCCAGACAGATCTTTATTGCCCACAGACCAGGAGATTCCCAGGTGGAGGAGCCCCATGGGTCGCCAGCATGGCTGTTTTGGCTGGCATGGCTGTTTCGGCTGGTGTGTCTGCTTCAGCTGGTGCAACAGTGCAGTGGCTCTCCTTAAAAAATACATTGGTCTGGTTGACTGTTAAACTGGCAATTGGAGATCCAGGAAGTGAGATTAGCACATTCATCTGATTAAACAGGACTGAAACATAAAGCCAGGCCAGGAGATTCCTGGGCAGCAATGTTGTTTCAGCTGGCACAGTGGGTCACCGCACGGGAAATCACACAGATACTGGCGCCCTTTCAGCAGGTGAAGGGAACACCTGGGAGAGAGTCAACAGTTCAACTTTAAAAAAAGGGCACTGAGGCAGGGAGCCAGGTGATCAGGCTCGGTGTGTCCCACCCCCACAAAAACAAACAAACAAAAAAAAACTGCAATTGGAAACACTCAGGGTTGAGAGCTTCACGACAAGCACAGCTGAACCTAGGATGGTGCAGCTCGGTGGGGGAGGGGCGTGCACCATTACCGAGGCACTCCACCCCTACAGAGGTAGTCTGCCATTGCTGATGCAGCCTGCCATTGCTGAGGCAACCCACCATTGCCAAGGCAACCCACCATAACAGAGAGAGTCCACCATTACAGAGGCAGGCCACCATCACCATGGCAGTTCTAACCACACCTATATAAACAGGACTGCAGGGAAATACACATGGCAGCAAGGCAGAGCCCACAGAAGCAGGGGGGACCCCAGAGCAGCTCAGAAAAGCCTCTGCAGGAAGGCAGTGACTAGGCTCCCTCCTTGCTAAGCAGGACAGCCCAGGGGAAAACAAAAAGGCGGCAGTGCAACTGATACTCATAAATAGAGCCCTAACTCCCTGGGACAGAGCACCTGGGGAAAAAAAGGGGTTGTACGAGTTCTGTTGCAGCAGACTTAAACGTACCTGCCTAGCAGCTCTGAATGAACAATGGAGCTCACAGCTCAGCACTGGAGCACCTATAAAGTACCGAATGTCTCCTCAAGCAGCTCCCTAACCCTCGTATATCCAAAGAGTCACCTCACAAAGAACTGAGCAGACTGACATTTGGGGGGCATCATTCAGGGACAAAGATAGCAGAAGAAGAAACTGATAGCAACCCTTACTGTTCTGCAGCTGCTACAGGTAATCCCCAGGCAAGCAGGGCCTGGAGTGGACCTCAGCAGTCCTACAACAGAGGGGCCAGACTGTTAGAATGAAAACTAAGAAGCAGAAATAACTTCATCATCAACAATCTGGAAATCCACTCAAAGACCCAATCAGAAAATCAGCAACTACACAGATGACAGGTGGATAAATCCACAAAAATGGGAAGAACCCAGTGCAAAAAGGAGGAAGACACCCAAAACCAGAACACCTCGCCTCCTACAAGGGATCACAACTCCTCACCAGCAAGGGAACAAAGCTGGACAAAGAATAAGTGTGATGAAATGACAGAATCAGACTTCAGAAGGTGGGTAATGAGAAACTTCAGTGAGCTAAAAGAACATCTTCTAACTCAATGCAAAAAAACTAAAAACCTTGAAAAAAGATTTGAGGAAATGATAACAAGAATGGACAACTTAGAGAGGAATATAAGTGAATTGATGGAGCTGAAAAACACAACACTAGAACTTCACGAAGCATGCACAAGTTTCAACAGCTGAATTGACCAAGCAGAAGAAAGGATATCAGAGGTCGAAGATCAACTCAATGAAATAAAATAAGAAGGCAAGATTAGAGGGAAAAGTGCAAAAAGGAATAAACAAAGTCTCCAAGAAATGTGGGACTATGTGAAGAGACCTAATCTACGTTTGATAGGTGTACCTGAATGTGACGAAGAGAATGAATCCAAGCTGGAAAATACTCTTCAGGATATTATCCAAGAAAACTTCCCCAACCTAGCAAGGCAGGCCAATATTCAAGTCCAGGAAATACAGAGAACACACAAAGATATTCCGCAAGAAGAGCAACCCCAAGGCACATAATAGTCAGATTCACCAGGGTTGAAATGAAGAAGAAAATCCTAAGGGTAGCCAGAGAGAAAGGTCAAGTTACCCACAAAGGGAAGCCCATCAGACTCACAGCAGATCTCTCCGCAGAAACCCTACAAGCCAGAGAGTGGGGGCCAACATTCAACATTCTTAAATGAAAGAACTTTCAAGCCAGAATTTCATATCCAGCCAAATCAAGGTTCATAAGTGAAGGAAAAACAAAATCCTTTGCAAACAAGCAAGTACTCAGAGATTTTGTCACCACCAGGCCTGAATAAAATCCTTTGCAAACAAGTAAGTACTCAGAGATTTTGTCACCACCAGGCCTGCTTTACAAGAGCTCCTGAAAGAGGTACTACACATAGAAAAGAACAACCAGTACCAGCCATTCCAAAAACATACGAAATGCTAAAGAGCATCAACTAAATGAAGAATCTGCATAATATAATGGGCAAAACAGCCAGCTAGCATCAAAATGGCAGTATCAAATTCACACAAAAAATATGAACCCTAAATGTAAATGGGCTAAATGCACCAATCATAAGACACAGACTAGCAAATTGGATAAAAAGCCAAAACCCATCAGTGTGCTGTATCCAGGAAACCCATCTCACAGGCAAGGATACACAAAGGCTCAAAATAAAGGGATGGAGGAAGATTTACCAAGCAGATGGAGAGCAAAAAGAAAAAAAAAGCGCAAGTTGCAATTCTCATATGAACTTCATATGGAACCAAAAGAGAGCCCGCATAGCCAAGTCAATTCTAAGCAAAAAGAACACAGCGGGAGGCATCACATTACCAGACTTCAAACTATACTACAAGGCTACAGTAATCAAAACTGCATGGTACTGGTACCAAAACAGAGATATAGACCCATGGAACAGAATAGAAGCATTGAAGGCAACACAACATATCTGCAACCATACAATCTTGGATAAACCTGACAAAAACAAGCAATGGGGATAGGATTCCCTGTTTAACAAATGGCACTGGGAAAACTGGCTAGCCATGTGCAGAAAGCAGAAACTGGACACGTTTCTGACACCTTACACTAAAATTAACTCCAGATGGATTAAAGACTTAAACATAAGACCTGGCACAATAAAAACCCTAGAAGGAAATCTAGGCAAAACCATCCAGGACATAGGAGTAGGCAAGGACTTCATGACCAAAACACCGAAAGCATTGGCAACAAAAGCCAAAATAGACAAATGGGACCTAATCAAACTCCACAGTTTCTGCACGGAAAAAGAAACAGTCATTAGAGTGAATCAGCAACCAACAGAATGGGAAAAAATGGTTGCAGTTTACCCATCTGACAAAGGGCTGATATCCAGAATTTACAAAGAACCAAAACAGAGTTACAAGAAAAAAAACAAACAAGCCTATTCAAAAATGGGCAAAGGATATGAACAGACAATTTACAAAAGAAGACATACATGAGGCCAACAAACATATGAAAAAATGCTCATCATCACTGGTCATTAGAGAGATGCAAATCAAAACCACATTGAGATACCATCTCATGCCAGTTAGAATGGCAATCATTAAAAAATCTGGAGACAGCAGATGCTGGAGAGGATGTGGAGAAATAGCAACACTTTTACACTGCTGGTGGGAGTGTAAATTAGTTCAACCATTGTGGAAGACAGTGTGGTGATTCCTCAAGGCCTTAGAAATAGAAATCCCATTTGACCCAGCAATCCCATTACTGGGTATAAATCCAAAGGACTATAAATCGTTCTACTATAATAACACATGCACACATTGCAGCACTGTTTACAATAGCAAAGACCTGGAACCAACCCAAATGCCCATCGATGATAGACTGGACTGGGAAAATGTGGCACATATACACCATGGAATGTTATGGAGCAATCAAAAACGATGAGTTCATGTCGTTTGTAGGGACATGGATGAATCTGGAGAACATCATTCTCAGCAAACTGACACAAGAACAGAAAATGAAATACCGCATATTCTCACTCATAGGAGTGTGATGAAAAATAAGAACACATGGACACAGGGAAGGGGGTACTACACACTGGGGTCTATTGGGGGGAATAAGAAAGGGACGGGGGCGTTGGGGAGAGATAGCATGGGGAGAAATGCCAGATATGGGTGAAGGGGAGGAAGGCAGCAAATCACACAGCCATGTGTGTACCTATGTAACTATCTTGCATGTTCTCACATGTACTCCAATACCTAAAATGCAATACAGAAAAAGAATTTAATGTACTCAATTCCTTTCACTCAATACATAACATTTGGGAATTTATAATCAAAAAGTGGTTTTTATTTCTAAGTGAGTTTTTCTCATATTTGCATATGAGAAAAATGCATATTGAGCTGTATTTTGTCTGGATAGTGTGGTGTATTTCTGCCTGTGGACTCTAAGGGTTTACCTTACTATTCAAACATCTCCACACATAACATTTTAATATATATAAGCCCAGCAAGGCTGAAAATTTCAAGGCTCACTTTTCTTCTTAAGAATTATTTTATTGGAA